TTTACTGTAGTTTACTGTAGATGGCAGCTTGCGTACTTATAGCCGAAAAATGTGGGGTGGTCAGCAAAAGGCCTTGGTCTCAGAAGGCAAACACTTAGAAATCTGCATGGTCGTTTATGTGTTAACAATGATTAAAAGGAAAAGTTAGAAAGAAAGAAGATGTCGAAAATGGAACATTAGTTATGTCAGATTTTTCGGTGCGTAGTCAAATTTTTTGTACAACTTTTAAAGAATCGAAAATATATTAGTAGAAGTTTGGTAGAGCAGACTTAGAGCTTCCGAACGCATATTAACATGCCAAATACTTTGCAAAATATTGAGAAAAAATTGAAACAAAAAAGGCGAATGAACTTATTACACAACCTAATACAAACAAATTTTCAGGAACAAATGCTAACTTCTCTATCCAGCCCATGTTGTTCAAGATTTTACGCCATCGTTCGGCGATGACGCTTACAAAGAAAGCTAACATAAACGTGAGTGGAATGTAGTCCAGCTTTATATCAAAGTTGTGAGCCAATTTCTCGAAAATCCTAAAACGATAAGGATTGTAGCTTTGTTAGAGTTAGAACATCGTTGAGAAAGCACAATGCTCTGCTACCTTTGATAGTCTGGTGTCAAAGCGTACCGATAAATGGCGAATACAACATAGTAGGCTACAATCCACATAGCAAATTCTGACTTTACAGACTTCCATATCGATCCGCGCCATCGAAGAAGGAGTTTCAAGAAAGAAATCGTTGAGACGGAGGAGACATCAAGATTGTAAGAAATCGTCATGTCTCATTCGTACCCCTGAATGTGATCTGCTAAGGGTTTCGTTTTCGCCTTGAAAGATTTGTACCAGTAATACTACACTTGAACGAAAATATGCCTGAAATTTGTATTTGTGCTTGTTGTGCTTGTAGATGTGACCTCTGTTTAGCGTGTCACTTCCCAACAACAAAATGTCAAATAAGATCTAAAAAACAGGTAAGTCCTTGAATATAAAATGCCTACAGGATTAACGGTGCAAAGATGACCCATCAGCAAACTCACAACAAAAAACGTGATAATAAGTACAAGTAGAGATTTGTTTGTGCTTCTTGAAATTAAAAAAAAAACACAGGAGATATAAAAATAGCAACTCTCATAATATTTGTTCGTCACAATAAAATTCCTGAGCAGCTCCCTTTGTGGTCTCCATTTATATTCCGTATAACAATGTATTCATTGACAAAACAAATTATCTACCTTTTCAGGAATATTCCGTCCACATATGTCTCTACAAAAACTGCATCTCACAGTCAGTTCCACAGATTCTAATTAGAGGCTATTTGATATTCTTTCCCGTTTACAGATGTAATATTTTTGGTTTGCACATATTCCAGAATGGTGGGCACTAAGTCAAAATCTGCTTGTTGTTCAAAAAACAAAACGCTTGATCGGCCCTGCTTTCATTCTTCAACACAAAAAACACACACAAAATTATAGGCTACGCATTACAGAGAATATCACAAGCATAGGGACCAAAACAGAGTGTAATATTCTTGATGCAGATAGCGGTTTTGCCGCTTTAACCGCGAAAAATCTACAAAATGATGATCATGGCGATAACGTTCGAGCATTATGGCAGTGTGAAATTCTATAAGCAAACATAATAAAGCGGAGAAATCCTTTGTATGTAATGTTTGCACTACTCACAAACGCGGTCAGCAGACGCTGAGAAATTATTAAAGGTCTGTTTTTTGTGAATGTCTGCTATGTTCTTGGATTTGAGGACTTTGATTACGGTCATCCAATTGATCACTTCCTTCAAAAAAGATCTTATAATATCTTGAACTGTGCTGAAATCCTGAATGAAATTTTTCAGGTTTGTGACTAAGAGAAATCTGAAGCGTCAAAAATGGTAGTGTCGTATGAATAGTATTGCACCTGTTTTCTCCACTTGTGCTTTTGCCTTTCCTATTTTTTACACAACCGGAGAAAACGAAGATACGTGTTGTGCATACTCGAACAAGTTTTCAATATATTGACAATCGTTAAGCAAAAAGTAAAACCGATGCAATAGTAGCAGCTGATTTTATTTGTCACAGACGATACTGCAATAATTGCCTAACAGACTAGCAAGAATTCAATTATTTCCAAGAAGTCAAAATTTCAATATGAGAACATGACAGTATATCAAAAATGCAGACTTTAGCCTTTTTTTCTGCCAATTATTTAGGAATGTTTTGCGATACTTTTGCCCATTCTCGAAGGCAGTTTTTTTTCTCTTTAACCTCTCAAGGTCAGCTTCATCTAAAATCAAACTTAGTCGAAGAATCACATTCACTGAATTTTCTTAGAATTTGATTGGAGCGGTCGGTAGGCATGTGCTTTGAATTTTATCCAATTGTATTTCATATTCTGAATATGCAAAATGTTTGCACCATAGGTCTTGACTTTGGGCACTCCACTAGTTAATATCGCCTCGCCCCAAAAATTGTTTTGTCTTAAGGGCCGGACATACTTCACGCGATTTCAGTCGCGACGCGATTTGGCAATATTCGAACTGTCCATAACTCACTGCAACCACTTTTTATATGTGCAGAAGATGGGGCATTTCGACAGTCCACGTAAGTTATTAAAACTATGCTTGTGGAGTTTGCTAGTGTTGGATCTGAAGACTTCTGGCGAATTGCCAAATCGCGTCGCGACTGAAATCGCGGGAAGTATGCCCGGCACTTCATGCGTACATAGCAGCTTGACAAAAAGAATTCAATCATCGATTCGCCGATGGATATGTTAGTAGTCTGCACAAAAATAGCTGTCGGTGTCGCACTGTTGTGGACAAATAACATTGAGTCGCTCCTTACTTCACAGCTAGATACCCGCAAGCTACTCTTCAATCACATGTAAGATGACAGTTACCTTAGGGAAAGCGTGCAAGTGCGGGCTCTCCCCTGGGTTCTTTATGGAAATCTACAAAGCCTTTAGAGTTTTTGGTGCAGAAACTTTGTGTCGTGCACTAAGAGAACACGTTTGACAGTAAACCAAGCTCCGCCCCGTGCATCAATTTTTTGGGCTACGTATTTAACTAGTCAGCGTCAGCTTACATCCTTGTACACAGATTTTCAGAGCGGTGCCGCGCTGCAAGCTAAGTCATAGGTGTTGGAGGCTTACACATCGAGTCACTAAAGGCAAAGCAAGGCGTGCATGGTGGCCCCATTAAAAGTACCTAAGAATATAAATTTTAAAGGGTTGAAAATCAATAGCCATTTGGACCATAGGACTAGCTCAAAGACTTTCCTTATTCCGGCAAGTCCTTTTATGTGTAAGAAAGAGAAGTCAGACGTTTATCCATAGTGTATTCGTATGACTATACCGATCTGAGCTTGGCAGAAAACACGCCAGAGTACTACGTTGATTGTTCATTATAAGAAGAAGAGAAAACATGGCATGTTAGCCAGTATTTTCGACTAAACTTTGGCGATCGTTCAAAGTAACCCACTTCTACAACTCTCAAAGTTATAATAAGACTAGGAGTAGCTTCAAAAGCAGTGTCCGGACAAGAAGATTTTGAGGTTTTTGAATTATCCGGGCTTATTCGTTATACTCAATCCGGAAATCTACACTGATGAACGCGAAAAAGGCGAAAAAGGGCTCAATTGCAGGAAAGAAATCAGCAAGTGGGGGGGGGGGGGAGAAGAGGCTTGCTGTGAAGTCATTCTTCCATTTTCCGGAGCGATCTCATCGGTTCCGGCTTCAAGTCACGCGTTTGCCCTTGGCCAGTGGTGATGTAAGGGGCGTCAAGCGGAGTCAAGAAGATCGCTCCTGAAGCTGGGAGCAACTTCACGGAAGGGACGCCCACCTGCTGAATTCCGTCCTGCGTTGGAGCCCTTTTCGCCGTTTTCGCGATCTCCAGTGTTAATTTTCGATTCAGCATAGCGAATAGGTCCAGGTAAGCCAAAAATTTCAAAATTCACTTCTTGCCCAGGCACTAACTTCAAGCCCGTCTTTTTGATGGTCTTGTAATGTATCCTATTTGCATTAAAACTAGGATTTAGTGTATGGACTTACCATAGATTTTTGAATTATTCCAAAAAATTAAAATACAAATAGAAAATTTAAGGAAGATCAAAAATTACGTCAAACTCGATTTCAAGAATTTGCTCGTAAGAAAGTGGTATTTGAAGTATTCATCTTCCAGCACCTTCAGTGGGCGTTATTCCCGCTCAGGGCTCAGCACAGCTGGCACCGGGTCAAGCTAGATATCGTTTTTAGGGCGGAAAGCAAAGGGGATATCGTTTCTATAGGGGCCGAGGCGTAGAACTGCCGCAAAAATGCCGCCGGCATGCCACTGGCATGTCATTGGCAATCTGTCCATCAACAAACAAAGGCGTTGTTTTCAGCCAAAACGTAATAGTATGACGCCAGATTTGGTGTGTGCATGCGCGTTGGTGGACCGGAACTACGGGCCAAAAATTTATGAAAACTTATGTGAATGAATGGCACCGTGCCAGCTGGGTGCCAGCTGAGCTGGCACCGACACTTTGCTCACATAAGTTTTCATACTTTTTTACATAAAATGTATCTACGCTGTAAAAGATTACATACGGAGAAGAAACAGTTTCATAATGTTCTCTTTTCAGCGTTTTATAGCAATTTGAAAACCACTCGGTCTGCTCCGCAGTCGAAAAATCGGCTTTTTCTGCTTCTCAAGACGTGATTCGTCCACTTAAAAAGCTCAGAAAGCTGTGGAAAGTTCTCCATGAAATCAGAAATGCATGAAAACACTACTACATGTTTTTACTATAATATAAAAATGATGACGGGTTTTCAAAACAGGTCAAAAAGGACTTCGCACAAAATTTTCAATATCAAACGGGACTTCGTTTTGAAATTTCCCTGGTGCCAGCTCGTGCCGAGCCCTGTTCCCGCTTGCTAATGGAAACATGACTTTAGAAAGGATATGGTACTTCGATAAGGCCATCTGTAAGAATGAAGAAAAGAGGGATTAACCTTAGGATTACTTTTCGCGTCATAAATATTCTAAATTTGCCAGCGGTGCAAAACTTCGACTTCACCAAAATATTAGAGGCATGGCATCAAATTCCAGGTACATGCGAATTAGATGCATAACTATTGAATCAATGTGAGTGCTGAAATTTAGAATATATTCCATAGCACAACAAATGTTCTGTTGTGCACGTTGGAAAATGACGGAACTAATGGAACAGGTTTAAAGGAGTTCCTTGACAAGAGTTCTAAAGTTTTTGGAAACCACTCAAATTTCAAAATTCTGCCGGTCATACCGTGTTACCAAGACAGAGTCTAATGTTCATATGTTGAGAAACTTATGCTTTGCCGGAAGTCGCATATCGTCCACAGATATGAAGAATATATCTTGCAAGAGTGTTGATGCAAACGTTACTATAGAACTGCGTTTTTTTGGACGTGGATTTTTTGATCTGCCTGCCTTGTCTGCCAAGAACCTCATTGTCGACGAGCAAGCTGCGCAGGGTTTGCACGAAATTTGTAGCTTTTTGCAAAAAGTATTTTGTATAGCATAGTAGTATAGCCATTTCTTCTCATATCGGAATGTAATAGTCTTGGCTAGAGCAAAAACCTACGTGCAACCTCAGAGAACACTGGATAACAAGATGATTTGAGTGACTAGAGACAATTAAGATGAAAAATATGAGTAGCCGAATTTATGGTCGATCGTGACCATTGTAACAGCTACAAGTATACGAATACGTCCAGCTTTTTCAAAGATCTACGAGTACCATTTGATTATGGCATTAGGTTGTCCCAAAAAATTTGTCCGTTTATTCAAACCACTATAAAATCACGCGCAATAAAGATTTGAATGAGTTTCAACATGCGTTCGATGCAGCTTTTCCTTCTCTTTCTTATGGATTCATTTCCGAACTATAATCTTGTATGCTTTTTTTGATAATTGCCAAAATTCTCCACCCGCTGATTTTATCTCTCAAAGTTAGGCTAACTTTTAGAAATTTCATTTCAAAGTTTCGAAAAGGTCTAAATATGGACCAAATAAAGCAATTCTTGGACTAAAGATGATATTTTTATATTCTCCTGATCTGCTGTTTTTAGCTCCAGAAAATTTTCTTCGGAGGTCTTGATTTTTGGCAAAGTCATGAAACCCACAACTGCAGCAAATACACGAAAGCTTTTGAGCTTCTGCAATTGAAACGTGATTCTTGCTAAACATTGTTTATGCCAAATAACCAAGTTTGATTTGCTTTGAAAAAGCAGCTTTTTGGAGTTTTCGGTACATTTACGTGGTAAACGTAATTGAAAAGCCGCGGTTTTTATTGAGTAAATAATTATAACGGGCTTGGTAAACGTAGCCCATGTAATCTAGAATGGGTTTAATGTAACCAAAGGTTTGCTCTGCGTAACAGTTACCAACGCTCTTTGCAAGCATCTAAAAAACTTCAAATTTTAGGAAAGATTCGGCGTTTACTGCTGAGCTGCTCAAAAAGCCATGGCCATGCAAAGACAGGGTAAATCAGAGAGCAAACAAATATAGCTGTGAGAAAGAGTATAAATTTAAACCAAGTAGCACCGAATTCCTCCGTGGATTGGTGTTCTGAGGGTTTTAGTGGGCGATGAGAAAAATAAGACGAAACTTTCGGGCAATCTAATATTTACAACACTGGGCAAAACTCATATCAAATAGGTTCATGCAGATGCGCTATGACAAAGCAACGGGGTTTGTTGTCTATTAAGCACCCTAAAAATGGAGGTTAAGATCAAGATTTTCGAAGCTAATGTAGAATTTCCTTCCCGAGAAACACTACTTCGAACTGTAGAAGCCCCACAAGTGTCTTATAATTATCTATCAAATGAAAAGATGGTAACACATTAGTTACGCATCAGTTAACTAGAAATAAAAACGAAATAATCTGATTACACTTCTGAAAAGTGATGTTTGATGGGAATCAATTTGGGGAGCTTTCTTTGTCGGCCAATGAAGGTGTCAAAATGATGAAATGGCTGTGCAAACGAAACTCATTGTAAGGGAAGCCTTTATAGATAGCTGCAATATTGATGGAAAAGCAGACCTTATTCAACTAAGGCTAAGACTTGAGGCTCTAAAACGTATGATATTCTTGACTGCGCTCTGCTCACTCAGCTCTGTGGTATTGAATTTCGCCACAATATGTTCCATTGTATGATCGAATGTATACTTTGGAAAAGTCAAGTATAATAGAATGCGGAAAGCTAAGTGAACCAAGCATGCTCGATAGTTCAGAATGGGCACAAAAAGTAGCAACCTTCTTGAAGATTTGTGTACCTTACATTTCTTTGTGGTCCTGCAGCTGCTGACATGGAAACACTCAGCTTCTCTACTTAATAAAACACGGGTAGGAGACTTTATGTCGCAGATAGGCTCCATCCCGCGCGGACAGCCGGTACAAATTTGCTTTGCCATCACCACATATAAAACACTCTGAATTTTTTTTTCTGAGTTTGGCTTTCAACAGTGAAGGAACATTGAAAAGAATTAGGACTTTACAGCGCCTTTCAGAATTCAGAAAAAAGTTGAGGCTACGTATTTACTTATAAGTATTCCCGAGCGAAAAGGTACTCAGTAGCAAGTGGCTAATTATTGTAGAGTTAACTAAATTGAGTTCAAGTCGATGCCGCAATGAAGATCATCTTCTCACTCTAATTTCCATAGTCAACAACTTTCTACTCAGATAATCGCCGGGGGCAGGCGGTTCACAAACTCGCGCTTTTCTGCAAGCGATCAGCAAAATTATGGGGCGTGGCCAAACCTTCAGCGGGCGGTACATCCTTTACTGTCGCATGTCTTGCCAGCGGGCAGCAATACAAAATTTTCTGCAAGCGCTCGTCATATAATCTCTTTCAGCGAGCGCTGGCCAAACTGTCAGCAGGACTCTTTCTACGCAGTTTCGCGCGTACGCCGAGCAAAGGCGAGATTTTATGTGGCAGAGATGTTCGATGGTTTGATTACCTGAGTTTGGGGTACTTTCTCTCAGCGGAAGGTACCTACGGGCTCTGCGCCCTCAATAATTTTGCAGAAAGTCGCGGAATGTCCGCGAGAATGCGGCCACTGCATCGCAACTGATCCATAGAAAAACCGCAACTATTCCTTGAGCATTCGTCAAAAATTGGCCTACATTCTTCCAAATTTCTGCAAGCGGGCCGCAGGAATTCAGCGAACTATTCCGGTACCCGCTTGCCCAAAAATCAAATGGCGCCTGCCCTCGCCGATTATTTGATTTGATATCTCTCCGAATTTCAACGACAGATAAACCCTTGGGATCAGTTGGAAAAAGGCCGGCGTGGTAGGTTTTTTATGTGCTCAATGCACATCACTTGTCAGATTTGCAAATGCTGCTATTGTCAAATTGAATGGTCCTGAAGAAAGTTCAAAATGCTTTCTACACCTCACAGTGACCAACAAAGAGAAAGTACAGATAGAATTTGCCTCGTGTTTCAACAGGGAACAGTATCTTTATACATAAAATTGCTCGAATGTAAAAGACTGCATAAATAAGAACAGCGGTCAACCAAACATTCATCGGCTAGTGCAGACGCTAATCTACTTCCGTTTATCTCCTCTCAAATCGAATGTCACATCCTCGCTATCACTTGGTATAATTATGGTCGAGATAGTGCTGTAATTTTCCTCTGCGACTGCCTCCAGAGCAGGGTTTGGTTGACTCTGTTTTCGAACTACAAAAAGTGAACTGCAGTAATTCGTTATTCACCAACAAATTTCGAGGAGTGTCAAACGCTACCATTATTTTCCTCTTTCTCCAAATCAACGCGATTAGCCATTGAGCTCGATCGTGACCTGCTGAAAACATCGACCGTGTACAGTTTAAGTGATACAATTCATAACATACTTTGAAAGTGCTGAGCTGAGTTTTCTGAGGAACTTCGGTGTAGTCTCATAAGATTCCGCACTTAGCGCTAAATGTAAACATTCATAAAGTCAACATAGTCAAAAAGTTAGAGGTCGAGCTTACGAAAGTCTTCTGGTCTCTTAGAAACCATTTTTACTTCCTCGCCCTTAGTGAAACTGTAATTTGCGAATTGGTTAACTGCTTTAATGCTTCGTGTTGCTTACTCGTAATTTTCAGCCGATCCCACAAGAGCATGATCAGCACCATGCAAATGGCTGTCTTCCGAATAAAGAGGTTTATAGTCAGGATCAGAAAAACAATCAGGAGCTGGCTCAGGACAAAAACCGTACTGGTTGTCAACGATCATCAAGCCAGTCTAAAATATAAAATATTTTTTGCTGAGTACAAAGTTTGTACAGTCGTTGGGCTATACGTGTGGAGGGCTTGAAGGCACTGCCTACCCTAAGTTGGGGTGTTGAGCTTTTGGCAGCATTCACCATTAGAGCCTCCTACCAAGCCAATGCACAAGTACGGCGCAATATGCCCCTTCGCAAGAGAGAAAATGGCTTAAAATAGCAAAGATGCACAAGGACCCCATCTATGCCCGCCCCTCCCCATCCATGCCCTCCCCTCCCCATCCATGCCCGCCCATTTTCATCCAATCACCGTTCTGGAAAGCCGGCCTGTGGGTTCTCCGGAACGGGGCTTGTCGTGGTTTTCGCAGACTTTCGACTTCATATTTGGAGTCAGGAACATGAAAAGGCCCTGAAACGATAAATGGAAGTCGAGAATCTGGGTGGACGGTGCCTTTGAACTTGAGTTACTTCGCCGAAGAATATTTTCTTAGTTACTATCGACACATAAGATTGCATGAACATGGGAATGTCAGGAAAATATTGTCGCATTACATCCTACTACGGTAGGGTAAGCACGAAAACACTAAATAGGGTTGATAGAGAAAACAGGCATCACAAGATGGAATAAAACATTTGCGGAAACGATGCATGACTTAAAGGGCTTTCCAATAGGCACAGAGACATGTATACTCTTTACATGAATAATTCGCGAATACAGTGTGTTGGGTTTTGCATGGCTTGAATACGAGAAACAAAAATAGTGAAAAAATGCGATTTTGAGTTTTTCGATTTTTTTGCTATAAATTGATTTTTTTCGAATAACAACCCTTAAAAACTGAAAATTCTCAATTGTATTTCTAAAGGAATACAATATGCAATCACCTATCTGGGGAAGGTTCAGGATCGCTCTGACAAATGTCAAATTTGGTTTCCTCGTAGGCCCATACGCACGTGCATCCCCGTGGGGAGGGGAGGGGATCTGTGAGGGGATGCGTCGTATCTCACTACTCTAGGTATCTTTCTCCTTTATCGTTTTTTTATAAATTCGTGCAAGAAAACGTAAGTGAAAGAACAAGGAATAACCTGTAAGGTAAGAGACTGACGAATGGAGGTAGAAAATTGAGATTCTTCTTCTTCTTTCTCTACCTAGCTCATAAAGGTTCTCATACTCTAATATCTACGCATAATATGTACCAGATTATTGTCACACAGGATTGAATTCTCTATTTTGTTTGATCCCCTGGGATTGCCAGGAGATCCCCATGGGATCACCTTCCATTTGAAAGTCATTTTTCTTCCCGAAAATTCAATGAAAACGCTGTGAAATCGTTTTGAAGATATACTAGACCTAAGCATTTTTTCGACAGAAGAAGTGGTATCTGAAAATTGTGAATTTTTCAATATTCTCTAGAAAAAAAAAAGAAAAAATCTCTTATTTTTATTTCTCCCATAAACATGTTTAGCAGTGTCATTTTATCTCCTCGGTACAAGTTTACCGTGCTTTCTTTGAGTTTTCAGGAAGATAAATGAGTTTAAAAAAAAGGTGATCCCATGGGGATTCCCTGGCAATAACCACGGAAATCACACGATATAGTGAAAATCTGATCTTGTATGACAGTACGCTAGCGACCATTACGCGCAGATATCAGGGTATGAGGACCATCATAATATATAAAGAAGAAAAAGAAAGATATTCAGAGTAGCAAGATATGACGAGTACCCCTCAGATAAAAGAACCGAACTATTGTGAATACTAAAGCTTCGCCGTTTAGAGGTCTTTACTCTATCAAACAGTTATTACTCATGCCCCCGATATTGCTGATAGTTGATTATGCGACAATATTTTCCAAACAACGTAATATTTTGAGTAGTGTAAGAGACAGCAGCCCCCCCCCCCTATGAGAAAGACCTTGATTAGCCACAAGCTTCTCTAACAAAAATAGACGAAAACGGATTTTTTCGAGAGAAAAAACTTGTGCCCATGCGTAGTCTTGACGTACAAAAAAGTAAAGTTACCAACAGCTATGTTTTTGTCGATCAGAAAGTTGCATTCAAAGTCATCGTCGTCCTCGCCAAGAGGATTTAACAGCGCTTCTGCGACCTGCAGCCAAAATGAGGTTTTAAGATAAACCTATCTTATCAAACTACCTTCATCCAGCCAACGACAAATATAAACTCCAGCACCGTCATAAAAGGTACGTACAAGTCGATCTAAATAAATATTGGCTAGAGGGTTAATTTTTGTAAATGTCCACTCACAATGCTACGGAACATTGGTTCTTCGCCGAGAACGAACTGACGCGAGATCAAACATATAATGAAGTAGGATCGAACAGCTAAGAAGACAACCTGCAGAGTTTAGTTAGGATAGCAAAGCACTGCCGAATTTCCGAAACCTATCGAGCCTATTTATAAATTGAATTTGATGGTTTTTGAAAAAGTACTTTGTTGCTTTTGCCTTTATGTTCTTACAAAAATCGTTTTAAAGTATTTACCTGCGGGTATGCAATTGGCACTGGAACCCAATCAAAGTTGCAGAGCATTGCTAATGCTGTACGGAAGGTTTTGATCTCCTACAAAGCAAATCACAATATTGACCACTTTCCTTTATGCACTTACCGTTTGTACAACAATCATAGCATATGGGGTTTCAAAGTATCCCTTTTCTAACGCCTTTACACATGTATTGAGAGCCCAGTTGATTGGTACCCAATATTTGTTGTAGACGATGCGGATTTCCGTGAGACTTTGTAGCTCATTCTCGTGAAGAAATCCTGGAAAAATTGTCTTGATGTTAATGTATTCATTTTCTAAAAGCGAATGCGCAAATTTCTTACCAGCAGTTACTACCGAATCCAAATTTGGAAATCTTCTACGTACTTTTAGCGATAAGTCTCGAAATACGAGTACCTAAATCCACTTAGAAAATGCATTACTATTGAAGGAGGTCTATCATTTACCTGAGATAAGACACAATAGCGAACGATATTGCGTCGCATTTGCCTAGCTTCGGCGGTATTACTTCGAAGAAGATTTGCAACTGTTAGAGCCAAGCTAGAATTTTTTTTACTGTTTATAGCTATCGAACTGCTCAAATTCACACTTTTCAAACATGGTTTAAACCTACTGCAAGTATCTGAGCTAGAGCGAGCCAGAATAAAATGACGCTGCTTGGAATGCACACTTTGCTTTGGCAAGACACACGCTATACATGTTTGTATTCAAGTAAATGTTATCGAGTTTATAGTCAAGATGAGGTGAATAGATTTAATAATTTCTCACACGTTCGTGGTTAAGTCCCGCATGAGTCTACTCGCAAAATAAAACTTGCGAGTAAAGGTATCTTGCGCGAGAACTCGAATTTGTCCCGACCTTAGGCTGGGTTCATACTGATCCGTGTGTTCCGGAACAGTTCCAGTACAGCGCACAATTTGAGCGTTTGGAACTTACGGTTAGGTAAACCTAATTTTGGAGCCGGGACGATGAAACCGCGCCATATATACCAGGCCTTAAGATCGTGACAGAATCGAGCTCTCGCGCAAGACTAAATTTTTAGTTAGTACTATCTAAGCTACTTTCCTTTCACTGATCGTTTTGGCCCCATCTGCGCCCGCTCTTTAGCTGTATGAATGTTTTATTTCGCTGCCGTCCAATTTGCTTGGTCCACCAATTTGTTTTTGCACTATCTATAATTGCTCATAGTTGCAAAATGTACTCTTTTTTCTTATATTTTTCAATCTTATAGATTGTTCATTTAGGATCGGCTCCATCTCCTGGCAGTCAATCCGCGGAACTTGCAGCTAATCGCTTAAGTCATATCTACTTCTTGATTACAAGTCGTCTTGTTACGCAAATGACAGGAATAGCGAAACTGGTACAAATAAAATCAGTTCATTCTCACAATTTCGTCCCTTCAATCGGCTAACTGCTACTCCAAGCAGATCTAGCACTAAAACCGATTCGGATAAGAATTGTGCGCCTTTAACATCAACGTTGTGATAACCGTACATTTCCTCTGTCTCATTTTAAACGAGTCCCTTTCGAGCGGCTCGGACTCGCGGCCACCTCACCTGGATCTTGCGCCTGCGCTTGAAAACGTGTTGTTCATTTATATTTTCACGCCTGAGAGTGGAAAAGGGATCAGTAGCGAGCTTCTATCGTTGATCAAGCGCGGGAAAATGGTCAGAGAAAATGTTTGCGAAAGCGGCGCGAGGCGGCCGTGTGGAACACGAACCACTCTAATCGAGCTCCCTCTAAATGAAACAGAGCATGAACGTCGCAACATAGACCTACACGCGCTAAGTATGCAAAGTTTGTTACACGTTTCCAAGAATTGTTATGATTCTCGAGGAAAGCCCAAATCAAATTTGATATTCTAGACCACCTATTCAGAAATCGTGATTTTCTTAGAAATTTGCGAATAGCACAAACTTTGCTCAGCCAAAAAGAGCAAGTAATAAAACCTTTAGCAGAAATTGTTCTCATTTCTTCTTACAAATTTTAGATCTTTTACAACCAATATGGCAAATCAAGATTTGAGTGATTTTTTATCTACTCTATCTAAGCGACGTGTGCTCATCGAAAAGACCCAAGATACGTTTACAAAGTGTTAGAAATTTGTTCCTAACTATAAGAAGAGCATGATCTCCTCCTACAAATAAAATTTATAGTGAATAAATCCGTTGATAAAGCAAGAAATTAATCTTGAACTTGGTTGACAGAACTTCCTCCAAACTAATATGCAGGAGGGTGTCCCAAAAAAATTGTGCACACGCATGATCTTTGACCCCCTTGCTTCGATATATATTTCGCAGACCTTCAAGTACCATTGTATGACACTGTTTAACTTAGATTTCCAGTATACTAGAACGAATCATAGATGCATAATTGGCATTTATTGATATGCATATTCTTCCAGGGCTCGCTACTGCGATATGAATCCTTCCCTAACTAGGCAAGATAATATGGCTCTCAATGGCCTAAAATATCGAAATTTCTACCGTAATCCTACAATACTGAAGAAAGGTAAGTGATTCGCTCCATATTATGAATTTAGCTGAAGCCACCTCTATAGAATGTATCTACAGTTCGCCGAAAGACGTAAAAGCAAGAGAGCTGTTAACGATCAAACAGTGTGCCATTTTTTGGCACACCCTGCATGAGATAAGGGATGGGCACAATTTTTGTGCACCTAATAAGTAAATAAATAAATAAGTAAATAAGATCAGTAGCGCTCGGCTCTGTCGCAGTGAAACCTTGAAGCGCTTTCAACAAAACTTCATCCCTTCGTTCTTTAGTGATGTGTAAAGTGGAAATTCGTTTCACATTATCAAATCTCAAAATATAAAAGGCTTCTAGAAACTATAGCAAAAAAACGTTGGCGCTAGCCACCGTGTTGAATCACTATCACCAGAGTCTTCTTAGGCTGTATATTCTAATGTCTGCACCCTTACCAATAAAGAATTTTTATCTTCAAGTTATTATAGGACTTACTTACAGCTTGGTACTCATGTGATGAACAAATCAATACCTGTAATTTTTTGCGGCTTATTTGATACAAAAGTCCTGCCATTGAATCAACATTGCATTTCAATGGCGATCGCTTGCAGCGTCATGACCTCAACTGCAGCCAGATGATAAATTGTGTCATCTTTTGCAATATTGGAGTTATGCATTACAATACTTAATAGACTAGCGTTATTGCCTGATAGTTAGTGTTGAACCCAGATAAAAGGGCTCTGGGCATTGCTAGAACAGGCAAATTTGACAAGCAAAATTACTGTGTTCGAAACAAAGCATTGCAGATCGCAGACTAAGGATATAGGGGATGTCTAATGACGCCTTCAATATCAGTATATATTAACGAATGGTAAAAGTGCAATTTCCAGATTATTAGCCACACCTTCCTAGACAAGTGAGTAGGGAGAGCGCGGAGGTGGTCGGGTTGCATGAGAGGCGTGCCCGGCTATCACGCCAAAAAAACGTACTCATCAATGAGCGGTTAGGTATGAATGCAAGGCAGAGAGTGAGAGTTTTCTGGGTGCATTTGGGTTCACACTCTGTCGACTGCTGCTCTGCCGGTGGTTCTGACGCTGACGATACGTTTGTTTACGTAGTGGGGCACTTGGCACTGTGTCAGAATTGGCGCCTGAGATTGTTTACGCGGTTCAGCATGACTATTTTTGAAGCCGTTTTGATGCTGCGGTCAATTTGTTTATGCAATGAGACACTTGGCACTTCGTCAGGTCGGCGGTTTTGGATGCTTGTGATTTGCAATTGGGACTGTTTATAGAGATAAACAAACGCTTCGAAATGTATTTAATACAGAATTTCTTCCTCTTACCAGTTGCTGTATTAATCGTGTAGTTTGTTAAGAGAGTGCTCTGATTATCACTGGGATGTACAACACTTTGTTCAAAAGGTCCAGCTTTCGCTACTTTTCGAATTTTTTGTCTGAAACTTTTGGTAAAGTTTCAATAACCAGCTAGAGCAAACCTTTTGCCAGCTGAAAAATTTTTCCTCCTTTCTAAGCTCCTTTTTGGAATTTTGCTAAATAACTTTCCAAAAGTCTCGAGTTTGCAAAACTCGCATAACCTGTTGCAACAAATACTGCTAAATCTTCGGAATAGAGGTCTTAACACATTACTGCTACTGCTAACCTTACAAAGTAATGATGATTTCCGCCTCAAATTGTGAAGATTTCGAAACTTAGGATACCAGTGTGCACCAGTGAAATTGGGAAATTGTCGTTTTGTTTTCGCTTGTCTCGTCATGATATGAAAAGACAACTATTAGAAAAAGGAGAACTTACATGATACTTGAACCGCTTATCACTTCGTGTTTTACGAGCTCAAAGTACGCCGCGTGAAATTATGTTGCTCTATAAATTTATTTTTGAGAATTCTGAAACACAAGTCGTATGGCTGCAAAAAATTGGTTCAGATGGCAAAAAGTTGCCTGCTATCAAACCGTCTCCTAAAGTCTCACATTAAAATTTTGAAAATTAGCGAAAAACATGGTAAAAATCAAGGGCTGTAATTCCAACGATTATCTCAGCACTATCGCAATAAATCACATTGCGGTTACAGCAGCTGGAAGGAGAAAAAAATTCTGTTTGGACACAAGTTGCAATGTTTATTCAACTTTATTCTATAATTGGATCTGACAATACTTTCGCAATTTGGCAAAATACTGGAACGAAAACGAGTCATTTCTTTGCAAAGTTTTTACAAAGGTTCGTTATTTGTACAAATCTTATACCAACTTTTTAAGACACTGGACTTGAAGGGCTTTTCAAAATGTTTCTAAAAGAGGCGAATTTGTTACATAAGCCAGAAATGGTAAGAGTCTAGGGAAGAAAGTGAAATATATTCACAAGGGTCTTTGCATTGTAGATATCCTGTTTTGCAGCGATTTCCAAAACATCTGAAAACCTGGCTCAGAGAACATTTGTGAACGACTTCAGGATGATCTTTATGGAATATAAAAGATTTGGTGGAGCTCCAAGCCGATGCTTTTGTTGCAAGAAAATTCTATCAAACTACTCTAGAAACTCGGTTAAACATTGTCTCTACCCCTGTTGTCTGAACATCGTACACGACTTGATTAAAATTTGCGTTACTGTCATAGTAGTTCAGGTGCAACCACTACTTTCAAAGAAAACTTCCATAAAAGTGGAGGAAAACCAAGTTCAAGAGCATGCAGAAGTCTTCAAGAGGAACTTTGAGAGAGCTTCAACTGGAGTGTGAGGAAAAGAGCTGCTTTGCATGGATAGTTATTCTTGGATAGTTGCACAAAATTGTTCACACAAGCAGCCATTTTGTAATCTTCCAAAGATCTGATACGTTCGTTTTCTTGATGGTGTGAGCGCACAACGATCAAAATGGGAGAATAATTTGTGCTAAAGTTGACACTATGAGAATATCTGTGCCTTAACCTAGCCTCATATCATCTGCCCTATTTACTGCTACCGATACGAAGGGACACCTAGGCATTACAAATTATGTGCCCCTCCACTTGCTAGCTATCCATAGGGTCACTCAGGCTACAAATTA